GGCCGAGCTGTAGTCAAGTGAAAAGCATCCTGACCTAGTTTCCGGGTTTCTCCAGATGGCTCGCTACAGAATGTAAGGCAGTAGCTATGGCATCGTCTGTCGATCTGTTCCCCCTGTAGGCAAACTGATGTTTGTCAAAGCCTGGTGGGAGGCATGTCCTAAGGTGTTGGAGAACCATAGGTCTGTAGTCATTGAGACAGTTAATTGCTGTTTTCTTGGGGACTGGGACAATAGTGGCTGTTTTCAAGCATGATGGAACACAGGCCGTTTGCAGGGAGATGTTAAAGATATTTGTCAGGTCCCCTGCTAATTGATCGGCACAAGTCTTTACCACTATCTCCAGCACCCCATCTGGACCTGCAGCTTTACTGGGATTCACAGCCTTAAGTGCAGCTCTCAGTTGAGGTTTTTATAGGGTGAATGGCTGGGAATCAGAAGGCTGGCAGGCAGAGCCTATGGGGTCTGGTCTTTTCATCTTGTAGCGGGCAAAGATGTTCAACTCCTCTACCGAGGCATCAGCATTGACAGTGTTCCTCATGTTGCCCTTATTGTTAGTTAGGTGCTGCAGTCCCTGTCACACTTGCTTCAGGTTGTTATCTGCTAGGTGGTTCTCTACCTTATGTTTGTATTGTTGTTTTGTATTCTTTTCTGCTAAGTGGTTCTCTACCTTATATTTGTATTATTGTTTGTCTTAATGCCTCTTTCTAAGGTTTGACCTGGCCTTTCTCTCTATATCCCTGTCCCCTGCCTTAAAGGCAGAATCCTGGGCTTTCAGAAGTGTCCATACCTCGACAGTCATCCAGGGTTTACAATTCCCATAGACTCTGATGTACTTGTCCATTGTTACACTGTCAGTGCACACTTTGATGTAAGTGAGTACGGCATCAGTGTATTCATACAGGTCTTGATGTTCAAATGCACTCCACTCAGTGGTTTCAAAACAGTCCTGCAGCTGATTGAGAGCACCCTCTGGCCAGATTTTAACCATTTTCATGACTGGCTGAGTTCTTTTCCTGAGAGGGACATACTTCGGACATGACAGAAGTGGAAGATGGTCAGATGTACCCAGTTGAGGGCATACTCTATATGCCTATTTTAGGTTAGAGTACACATGGTCTAAAGCAGTGGTTGCCAACCGGTGTCCGCGAGAAAATGTTGGTGGTCTGCAGAGAAATGTCACCCCCAGAGCACCCCCCAAAGCAATTAATCCAGGCTGCATGGGAACAAAAGGCTGCATCGCCCACATGGTCCGTGGGAACCCTCCCTGCCCAGTCACTCCTTACCTGGCAAACTTGCCTGCTAAGTTGCTATTTTTCCTTTTTTTTTTCTTCCAACCATCAGCTGTTTTGCTGTGCCAGGAGATTTAGATTAGCTAGAAAACCGTTGGATTTCTTGCTTTATAGCTAATCTTCAGATCTTTGGCTCTGCTTTTAAGCAGAGGCGAACCTCCCTTAGGATTGAAGGTCCTATTATTCAGTGCAGACTCAGGTAGCCGATGGCAGAAGCACAGATCTCTCTAAGAGATTCTGTGAGCAACTCAATCTGCCTGCCTGCTTTGCCTGATTTGGGGTAAAAGTTGCTTTTTGTTATAAAAAATTCAGTATTTACATAAATATTTATATTTACATACAAGCCATGCCAGCCAGCCATATGACCACCAAGCCACACCCACAAAACAGAACTGGTTGTTAAGAAACTCGAATCCCACCCCTGCCTGTGTGTTTATGTGTGTGTCTATGTATGTGTGAGAGAGGGAGAGAGGTAGGTTAGATCAGATCTCTCTCTCTCTCTCCCACCAATCAGCAAGCCACCTTCAGTCAAAATTCATATTAGTGGTCCGTGGGATTTAAAATTATGAGTTTGGTGGTCCGAGGTCCAAAAGGTTGACAACCCCTGGTCTAAAAATTTCTTCCCTCTGGTGGAAAATTGCATGTACTGCATACTTAGGGAAACTGTCTTTAAACAGGCTTGATTGAAGTCCCCAGCCACAAGAGTGCCCTCTGATGATTATCAACTTGCCACATGGTAAGGTTTTCAGACCCAGTTGGCCAATCAGAAACATGAAAAAAGCTTGCAGATACATGCCAACCTTCCTGTCACGGGCTTCTTGTGTGATTAAAGGACTTGGCCCAGTGAAACAACTCCTCCTAGCTTTCTATTTATTAAGAAAATGCATCAGTTAATGGCATGCTAGTTTTGTTTAATCTAGCCCTGCAACAAAGCTTAGAATTAGCTAATTACTTCCAATGCTCACTTAATATCAATGTCACTTGACTTTTTAAATCGCCTCAAAGGTAACTTTCTCTACTACAGAATGTTTTAAGTTTTCTAACCATGTATGCTTGCAAGTTATCATGTTACTCAAACAGGTATGTACTCAACTATTTCTAACCCCTAGTTATGCCCATTTTAGAAATAAGAAAGAGCATAAAAAATGGGAAGCATCCCCTCAGACTGGCCTTCCTTGGGTCTGGCTGGAAGAATACTTCATCTTCCAGATCTTTAAATCTATGAGGGATCATTTGTATTGAGAAGAAAAGGCTCCTTGGTGCATCTTCCTCTTTGGGTCATCAGTGAGTCTTCCTCTGGATTACTGTTAAGCAGTTTCTGTATTTGCCCTCGAATTAACAAGAACTAACATCATCCAGTCCAATTTAAATTTGCCATACAATATTACCGGACAGTATTGCAGGCTAATTCTGCAAACTGCCAAGAATTCAATTCTGACTGGCTCAAGGTTGACTCGTCCTTCCAAGGTTGGTAATATGAGGATCCAGATTATTGGGGGCAATATGCTGACTCTGTAAACCACTTAGAGAAGAGGCCTGTAAAACACTTGGAAGCAGTATATAAGTGCTATTGCTTTTCACTAAAATAATAAATCTTGAACAATTGCTTGTGCCTAGATCATACCGTTAGGTTGTATCAGACATTGTTATCTCCTCCATTAAAACTCTCAATTCTTTCTGCTGTTTTCTGAAACAAGGTTTATTTAGAAATTGTTGTGGATTCAAAGTTGGAGATAATGAAACAATTAGTCTTAAAATACAACTGTAAAATGTATGTTATATTTTTGTACTTCAGTTAACTTTCAGCAAAATTACTTCAAAATGAAATGTGTGTGTATAAATTAAATTGGACAGAAAAAATGTATGCTGTTATAGATAGTATGATGCATTTATCGTTTTCAAATTGTATAATCATTACAGGAACTGCAATGGCCAACATTATCCTGTTAGTCATAGTCAACTCCAGGTTTAAAAACTACCTATGCAAAATGCCTTTGATAGCTTCCCCCCCCCCATCCTTGATAGTCTTATCTAACAGTTTCCCAATGTACTAGATATCTACTATGTTTTTCCACTGTGCACTAACATTTAAAATGCTGTATAATAGAAGCTTTCTTAGAAATACAAATAGGGCCTAAATTTAACCAACTGATTCTGGTCACTATGAATAGTATGAAATGTTCAGACAGCTGCTCATGGATGTAGCTGCTGATGCTGGCCCAGAGGTTTGCCCTGCAGTACTCTGTATAAGAAAATGATCTATAACTTATTGAATATAATTGATTCTAGGCATGTCCTTATCATAAGTAGATAATTTAGACTGAATCTTTCCAATTCCACATTCAAGTGAGTTGTTTTTAAAGCAATATCTTAATCATCTTGCTTTTATATATTAGCATCAGTTTAATAAGATCGTGTTAACACAATGGAGTGACACATTTTTCTTCTTTTATATTTCAATTAAAGTGTCAAGAAATATATTCAGCATCTGATATAAATGGTAGAAGGATCCTGTATTTAATTCTCAATTGATTTACATTACTTAAAACTAACACAACCAAAGCTACCTCACTTCAAGCACACTTCAAGCTCACTTGTCAGTGATATTAACAAGTTTGAGATATCTGAAAATAAAATCAAAAGTATCATTTGTTTGCAACTTTATAAGCACTCTGAAGAAATACTAAAGTAACCGATTGCTCAAAAGAACAATTCATTCTCTGGAGTACAAAACAGAAATAACATTTTTATTACAAAGCTTTTTTTTTTTTAAAAAAAAACCCACCAATTTATGAACTATTTGCTGAGCTGTGTTTTATACTATGTTGATTAAAGTTTTCTAATAAAATAACTATTTGATGTAAAAATAATTTCATAACATCAAAATGAAGAGAGGCATGGTAACATCAGCATATTACATACTGAAGACTGGTTCCTGGAAGTTATTCCAAACTTTATATAAACTTTTTGAATCATTCTGGTAAAGATGGAGAAGGATGGAGAAAAAAAAATCTATCCTTGAAATTCCAGTACCATAGTGCCAGCAGGAAAAAAAAAAAAAAAGGTTTTGCCATTTATCTAAAAAGATAGCTGGTAGCATGGTTCTAACAGTGGGAACTCAAACCTTTCTATTCCCCAGCTTGATCCCAAGTTACGGTGAATCTAATCAGTAAAGCTATTTGTTTCCATGTATGGCAAATTGACAAGACAGGAACTCTGAAGGTGGGAGAAAGATTCCCATCAAAATACTTTTTGCATCCTGCTGGCATCAGCAGGACTTTAGATATAGTGAATCCCATCCCCTCTTTTTGATTCAAATAGCCTTATTAACTATCCTTACCCTGTAATCACACAGCACAGAGGCTTCTGCAAAAGTGATAATTGAGTTCATTTTAATAGAGGAAGAACAATGCCTTGATTGAATATTTTTGTGAAGACAAACTGCATAAACATGCATTTATTAGAGAAAAATATATAGTAGATTATCTTCCATGTAAGTATGGATTATGCTGGCTTGGAATTTTATTCACAACATATCTGAGGGGCATCAGACTGGAACACATACATTTTCTGAACAGAGGAGCAATTCTCAAATTGCTAAGAATATTATCACACATGCTTAAGCACTATATGTGAAGTGCACCGTGTGTATGAATAGTAACAGTTTTAATTTATACTATTAAAACAAGTGATTCAGACAAAGATTTTTTCCCCTTTGAAAAACTTGTTTTCAATAAATATTGTTATTTTAACCCAAAGTGTTAGATAGGAAGATGGAAGGTGTGAGGAGGAAAAATGAAACAGAGTAGAAAACAAAAGAGCCCATTAAGATTAAAATAATAAAGAGTACATCAAAAAGCAGCTTAAAATAAAGCTTTATAAAAATATTCATTAGATAACTTGTTTTTAGAAAAACAGATTTTCAAACCTGAGGTCACTCCATATATATATCATATATCTATCATTCATTCACAACAAAATTCTCTTCAATTTATTGGGCTTAGAAGAAATCCATAGCAGTTGGTCTCTTCTTAGCTGGAATTACAAGAGACTTCTTTAATTGAGGGGTTTCCATCAAAGAGCTAGAGGAGAACTTTAGGACTCCATGGGGTGGTTTTTGCTTAGGATTGAAAGCTACCCGGGAGACTCCCTCTGGACTGACTAAGATACTTTTGTCTGTCTTCTTAAATTCTGTAAACCAAAAGATTAGAAAGAAAAACATTACATGTTTTGTGTTACCTTGTTACTAGGCATGTAAAGTACTAATGTGTAAGTGAAGGGAGAAAAACTACATTCTTCTAATATTTTTTTTTATAAGCAAAAGATCCTCAGAATGCAGACATTGTTTAATTTTTAAACCAATTTATTTTTCACATGCTACTTAGATGGGGATCTCAGCAGAGAAAAATATGCTTTTATGCTTCTAGCAAAATACATGCATCACTGCCATTTTAACAACATCAATGCTTATGTAATAATTCAAATGAAGTTAAGTCTTTGGCCAGAAAAAACTCTTTAACATTTAGTTTATTGCACAAATGATATGATAACACAGGCCTTTCAAAGCAAGAAAGAAAATATCTTACCAGTAGTCATATTCTTATTCAATCCAAAGGTAACCTTTTTGTAGCTGGAAGATTGTAGCTTGCTTAACTAAAAGACAAATATAGTTGTTTTCCTGGGCTAATTAAATCTTTATTGCTTAAAGTATTTTTTAACATCCTTATTAGAATATTGAACCAAATCATATGTAATAGTTAGAAAGCATCAGCCAACATACACCATCATCCAATTTGCCAATGTCCTGCAAGTGGCCAGATGGCCCACAGATAAGTTTGCAAAAGTCATTCTAAAAGCAGTAAGTTTGTAGAATTGCATATTTAGTCTCAGAACTGAGACTAAACAAGCAATCTTTAGAGAACAAGGGCACCAACGCAGTGATATATCACATTGAAAAATGCCATTGTTTAAAAGGGACTCAAACTATTATTCTAAACATTCTCAAGATATAAACTATAGAAATGTTATCATACCGGCATGGCAGTAATGCTTCTTTTAGCTTTTCTAAAGAAGGCTGGCTTTGGTAAAGCTGTCTTTGCAAACTTCACAAAATCATTCTCCACCTTTGCCTTTGTTTTCTTTATTGGAAGGGCAATACCACCAGTTTCCTGCAAGAAGAAAAAGAACAGAAAGTATGCATAATATAAATAGCACATACGTTCATCTATTAAGAATTCTTCCATCCCTCCACCTCCCTCCTTTATTTTTATATGGACACATTAAATCCAATTGAGAGATTTATAAATCCATTGATAGCTACCTGAATGCCTTTCCATGGGAACCAGACCTAAGAAATAACATGCATAGTCTGTTTCAGGGAAGTTAAAGAATAAAAGATAAATATTTTGAAAAGAGCAAAATGATGTTCTTTTCCCAAAAAAAATGATTTAGGATTTCCAAATAAAATGTTTTTTACATTTAAGGGAATGCAAAATTTGTTCAATTTAAAATGGGATTTTTTTTCTTTGTTTCTCCAACTGTTCACATTTGCTTAACAGATGAAAGGCTTAAATGTAGCCCTGATAAGGAAATTATTCTAAAAATAAATCAGAGGGTGTACACATACATTCTCAATATCCCTAAATGTTTGGTCTTCCTTTAGCCTTTTATAACAATTTTCTTTTCAGTTAGCCAATTAATTAGCACAAGGATGTAGAATTTTAAATTAAAATTAACTTGTGAAATTACAGCATTAAATTGATACTATTTTATCACCAACCAATTGCATTAGAGTAAGAATGCTTTTTTCCATTTCAGAAAATGGATTAAAAAATTTAGAAAATGATTTAATTTGAAAAATTCAACAGAGTAGATCCACCTACTTCGTTCTTCCTCTTCTTGTTTTCAAGTTCATTTCTTTCTATGGAATTTGGGCCTTTCTTGCTTTTTCTTTGCATTTTCAAGTCAATTGCTTTCTGTTTGGAACATATAGTCCTCCCCAAATTCCCCAACATTTTTTTTCTCTTCAACTTGACTTTATGAAGCACAATAGGTTCTGACTCTACAAGGCATTTCTTCTCTGGCAGATTAACACTTTCTTCAGACAAAAGCTTTCCAGTGATTCCTGGCTTTGATTTCTGCTGCCTCTTCATAATTTTACCAGTGTGGCGTCCTGTAGTACGATAATTAGGGTCCTCTTCATTGTCATAATTCTGTCCATTCTGACACATAATTTTTCTAGGAACTTTTGGTAGGCTCCCATTTTTGTGTGGAGAAGGCTTCTTTATGTCATTGGCTAAACATGTCAGTGACTTCAAAGAAGAATCATCACCAAGTCCTTCAATGGGAATGACTGAAGGAACTTCATTGTTCTCTGCACTTGAAGATTTCTGCCATTTCCTGATATCTGAGGATTCGTTGGCTGGATCTGGTGTCTTGGATTCAACACTGACTGGTCTATTCTCATTATTTCTAGTGGGCATGCAAGTACCAACTCTCTGACTGGATTTTCTCCTCCTCCTTTTTTTTTGTAGCCCTCTGTTGGCCTCTTCTTCCTCATCATCATTCTTTTGGGTTTGATTGTTGTCTGTCAAGAAAAATTAAGTGATATTAGTTGAATAGCATCTCTGGTGACTAGTTGTAAGACAACTCTATAATAATACCAGCAGCCCAAATTAGCAGATTATATGAAGTTGTGTGTTTTATGCATAATGCTGAACCATAATATAATTATATCTGGACTGGGTGAGTACCTGATTCATGGATGGAGGCTTAAATTACCGAAAGAAGATTCTGATTTGCAACAGATAAAAAACTAGAGACCGATATCTTTATTGAATGCAGATTATAAAATATTCGCTTCAATAATGGCAGAAAGGCTAAAGAGATTCTTAAATCAATTCATACATGCTGATCAAAATGGTTTCTTGCCCAAGAGACAAATATAAGACAATATGAGGACAATTTTGAACACATTGGAATACTATGAAGCACACCCAGAAAAACAGACAGCACTGATATTCTTAGATGCACAGAAGGCGTTTGACAACATGAACTGGCAATTCATGTTGGTACAAATGCAAGAAATGGGTTTTGGGGAGAGGTTTATCAAAATGATTAAAGCAATATACTACAAACAGCAAAAATAATGGTAAATGGTGATATGTCTGGGAAAATTAATATTAAGAAAGGAACAAGATTGTTATTTGTATTGACATTAGAAGTGTTAAATAGAAATATTAGAAAAGATAAGGAAATAAAGGGTATGGAGATAAAAAAGGAAGAGTATAAATTGCAGGCATTTGCAGATGATCTGGTTTTCATATTAGAAGAACCATTAGGAACAGGACCTAAACTGATAAAAAGGATAAAAGAATATGGAGAAGTTGTGGGACTGAAAATAAATAAGGAAAAAACTAAGATCTTAGTGAAAAATGTTACAGAAAAGCAAAATAGAGAATTAATGGATCACAAAGAAAGTGAAATATTTGGGGATTCAACTAACACCAAGATGTGGGACGATTAAAGAAGATTATTATTATAAATTAAAACAACAGATTAAGATAGACCTGGAAAAATGAAAAAATGTGCAACTATCACTAATAGGGATAAAATGAATATATTATCAAGAGTATTATGCTTGTTTCAAACAATTTCAATTTTAGGGATAAAATGAATATATTATCAAGAGTATTATACTTGTTTCAAACAATTTCAATAAAATTGGAGAACAAATATTTTGATGATTTAAACAAAATAATATTAAAATATATATGGCAAGGGAAAAAAGCAAGGATTAAATTAAAATTGTTAAAGGATGCAAGAACCAGAGGAGGGTTCGGGCTACCCAATTGGGAATTATATTACCAAACTGTGCTATTGATGTGGATGAAAGAATGGATTGTGTTCAGGAATACAAGGCTATTGACACTGGAGGTGCACTATTTGCAATTGGGCTGGCACACATTTTTATGATATGGGAAAAATAACAATCACGGCTACTTTCAAAGACACTATGTAAGAAATGCTTTATTGTCAATATGGGAGAAAACAAGGGAACAACATTATTTGAAGATTCCAGTCTGATTATCCATGATGGAAATGTTTATATATCCAATATTCTTAAAATGGGAAATATTGTTAAATATAAAGTTGTTTTAAATGAAAAGGGTGAACTCAAAACAAGAACTGAATGAACAAGGGATAGATATGAATTGGTACTAATACATGCAAATACATTCTAGATATGAAAAAGCTATTAAAGCGGAGGGTTTTATAATGAATTGACAGAATTAGATAAAATCCTAATAGGAACAGAAGAAAAGATTATTAAGCAATTGTATATTTATTAGGTGTGAAATTAGAAGAACAAGTGAAGGAGACGAGGGGGGAAAATTTTGGTTATGGGATAGAACTAGATAAATGGCAGAAGCTATGGGATAGAAATTATAAATTAACAATGTCAATGTTATAAAGAAAATCTGTATAAGATGTTTTATAGATGGCACTTTGTGCCGGCAAAGATGTTCAAAGATAAATCAGCTAAATGCTGGAAATGCTACCAGACACCACCCATATGTGGTGGACATGTACAGAAGCTAAAAGATATTGGACAAAAATACACACATGGTTGGAAAAGATGATAAAACAACACATAGACTTAAAACCTGAGATATTTTTCTTGTGGATTTTACCTGAAAACTATAGTATAGAAAAAACATATTTAATCATACATAAATTAACAGCAGCTGGAATTGTATTTGCTCAAAATTGGAAAAAGGAAAAGATTCCGATAGAGGAAGAGGTGATTATGAAAATATTAGAATGTGCAAAAATGAACAAATTAACATTGGCAATTAAAAACAAGAAGAAATGGAATATTATAAGATATGGGATTTATTTTATACATGGTTGGAAAATAAAGAAAGAAGGTCAATGAATATAAGGCTTAATGTATTATTAAGATTACTACAATGATAAGATAAATAAGGATGAGTAGTTTTTAATATGAATATAACTATTGATATAGTAAGAGACATATATTAAATATAAATATGTGCACAAGATATATGTACTCAGTCGACACAGTTTAATTGAAAGATGGATATGTTGTAAAATAAAATATATATATTTTTTAAAAAGATTAATTTTTGGTTTAGTGTAGTTAGCAGACCCACTGATTGTGCCTTAGTGCTACCGTGTTTCCCCAAAAATAAGACCAGGTCTTATATCTGTTTTGGACCAAAAGACCCATCAGATGTTATTTTTGCGGGATGTTTTATTTTGCGGCCAACCATCTGCTTGCCCACAGCCGCAACGGCTTACAGCAGGGGTGTCAAACTCAATTTCATTGAGGGTTGCATCAGGGTTGTGTTTGACCTCGGAAGCCAGGGTGCACGTGGCCAAGGTGAGCATGGCCAGCTTGACATCACTCTTGTCAGGGCCACCTTTGGTGGCCTGAGTGCTCTGCCAGCGAAAACAGGCTCCCGATCTAAGTTTTTGGCTGCAACAGCTTCCTGTAGCCCTCTGTCCTTGAAAACAGACCTTGGGTGGGCTGCCTGTGCCCCCTCCATGCCCTGCTTTCACCTGTGACGGCCTCCAGCAGCCCTTTGCCAGTGAAAACGGAGCTCAGTGCAGCCCTCCCGAGCTCTGCTTTCGCTGGCAGAGGCACCGCGGGCCAGTCCTTCGCTGTTTCTAGGGCAGCCCTGTAGGACCAGACCTAAGCACCCCATTGGCTGCAAATTGCTCCGTTCCCAAGACCCCCATAGGCACCAAAACACTTTTCACCCAGAGCGAGACAAACCTTCATCTCCTTGCAAATGGGACACTTTTACAATTAGTACCGTTTCAAAGCACCCCATTTGCAAGCAGAACAAAGCTTCATCTCCCTCTGGGCAAAAAGTGCCGGGAGGAGCCAGAGGCAGTGGGGGGGGGGGGGGGGGGCAACCCCAACCCCCCATCCCCTCGTTCTAACTGTCTCTTGGCTTACCTCGGGTGAAACAGGGCAGGCGCCTGCACGGGGCATCAGAATCACCTGCCTCCCCCCTCCCCTGTGCCTCTGCCTCCACACCTGCTGCCAGTGTCACTGTGCAAGCCTCCTTTGAGCTTGGCAACTGCTCAGCATATCCGCATTGTCTGTCTCCCACTCAGCCTGCACCTTTGGACTGATCTAAACTGCACCAAGGGGATGGTGGGCTATGGCTGCTCCCCCCATGCATTCACCACCTCTTGTGCTGGCCACACCCACACTCCCTTGGGCTTATTTTTGGGGTAGGTCTTACATTAGTCCCACCTCCCAAAACCAGGCTCTTATTTTGGGGGTGGGTCTTATTTTTTGGGAAAACACAGTATGTACAAACCATGACTTCTATAGCTGATTCAACAAATTGTAATTAAAAATGTTTACTGTGATCAAGAAACAAACAGATTTTTTTTCCTTACCTTTTTTCTCCAATTGAACTTTATCTAAGGGTTTCCCAGATTTTCTTTTCAATTTCTTCCTGCTGAAGGTATCATCATCCTCATCTGTAGAGACATCTTCAGGGAAATCATTTTGAGGGAAACTGCCTGAAAAGGACATCAGAATAAGAACTGCCACAAGCCAAAGATTCTTGGAAAGATTCTTCGCTCATATTAACATCCATGCTTTTTTAAAACTCATGCATGTATGCTATCATGAATATTTTATAGTAAATAAAACATTTACTTGAAGGAACAAAATTGAAATCAGTGGTGGTAATCAGGGCCCCAGGCTTAATTGCAAAGAGCCTTAAATCAGTTAAGAATGCTGAAACAGTTTGCAGTTGTTGTAAAATTTAAACAATATTAACATTTTAGAAATCATCGATAACAGGCATAAACTGTCAAAGATAAAGAAAACAATAAGTATAAGTTATCTAAGTAATCAGAATGTTAATGGTCCGCAGTCAACACTATATAAATGTATCTGCACCCAAGTAATATAATATACTACTTGTGTTTTATATTACAATAAAACAATAGACTGCCAGTTATTTTCATCTTACAGAAGCCTATTAGTAAGGAAGAGTGGAGGGAAAAGGGGCTGGCCTCACATGTTTTTGGCACTGACTCCAGCAACTGTAATGACTATGTGGCTTTCCATGAAGGGGAGAAAAAGTTCCAGTTCCAGCTGTAAAGAGTACTGTAATCTGATTTAGGTGATAATGTAAGTCCAGTTCAGGTACCAGCATATTGCCTGAGCCTGAAAGAAGCTAGGAAAGATCAGACTTGGTTTGTGCATGATTAGGAGACCACCAGGAAATCCTAGAGTTCTCTGAGAATTCCCAAATTATCTCAGAAAATGAAATGGCAAATACTTCCTTATTGTTCCCAAGATCACTATATGGACATGACCACAAAGCCATCAGTATTAGAAAACAACTCTACTTTACTTTCACTTTTCCTTAAGCATTGAAGTTGAAAATCATGATTATTCCTTCAAAGGATAATACATAAAACTCTAGTGTATATTTTCTATTCATGCTATTGCTTTCCCAAAGGCTTGAAAAAAATGATGAAGAATCTTACCTTCTGCAAGATCTTGAAATCTGGAAAGAGAAGTGAAAAGAAATTATATCGTTTTACTCATTTTCCATAACAGAAAGTACCAGATTTATTGGTGTGGAAAAATGAAGGACTTAAGGAATTTCAGGAAACATACTTTTTAACCAATTTGTAGAGGCGCTTTCTGTTAAAAGCAGGTGTGTTTTTTCTGCTGCTCAACTCAAAGATTGTGCTGGCAATTGCTGCATAATCAAACTGTCAAAAAAAGAAAGCAACTTAGGTCAATTTTAAAAATCATTTCATTCGAAAATGCTAAAATGTTAGTATCATAACACCATTCTTTCCTTTTTCTATTTACCATCAAAATATTTACTTTTTCTCACCAGCCTAAATCCACGCAAATTCCTACCAGGTCCCTTCATCACAGCCTGATGAACAATTAAGTATCCTCTTTAAAAAAATCACAGTAAGACATTCAGGAAGACTTGGGACCATCACTGTTTATGAGTCAATACATGCTGAATTGCTCAAATGGCATCTGATGTTCCTCAGAACTTGAAGTACATACAACTTAGAGATGCCACCCCCTACCCCAATATTGCACGGGGGGGGGGGGGGGGAGATTGATAGCTTGATTTAATTTTCAGCTATTGAAAATAAAGTAGCCAGTGCAATTTATCAGTTTTAAATCAGAAGTTTTCAAACCCTGCACCAGCCTTCCCCAATCTGGTCCCACAATTCCCATAATTTTAGTAACCAGAGTTCTAAAACTAGTAATTTGATAAAGGTGGAGCCTACCTGAAGAACAGGTCCAATGTTAGCTTCTATATCTTCTGAAATATTACCATGTGTCTCTGAATTTGGAGACAGTTTGTTTGACAAGCCCCTGCCTATGTTATGAAGAAAAACCAAAAATGAAGTGTCAGAGATCAAACGGATGGTCCTATCCACTTCACTCTCACTCACTCTTTGCTTCATTCCTGATCAACATGGGGAAATATTTCCTGCCTTCATTTAGCCAATAAAGCTTAGTATCTCCAAGAAAATGATTGCATAATTTATCTTGTGAAGCCGTCACTTGTCACTGTATGACCAAATCTGTTATAGCAGCGGTCGCCAACCGGTGGGCTGTGAGAAAATTTTGGGGGTTTGCAGAGAAATCTCACCCCCAGAGCACCCCCCTCCAAAGCAATTAATCCAGGCTGCGCAGAAACACAAGGCTGTGCAGCCCACATGGTCCGCGGGAACCCTTCCCACCCACTCACTCCTTACCCGGCAAACTTGTCTGCTAAATTGCTATTTTTCCTTTTTCTGACCATCATCTGTTCTGCTGTGCCGGGAGATTTAGATTAGCTAGGAAGCAGGAAATGGTTGGATTTCTTGCTTTCTAGCTAGTCTTTAGATCTTTAGCTCTGCTTTTAAGCACAGCCAAACCTCCCTTAGGACTGAAGCTTCTATTATTCAGTGCAGACTCACGGCAAGCAAATTTTATGTGACAGACTCAGGTAGACGATGGCAGATAGATAGATCACTGAATGATTCTGTGAGCAACTCAATCTGCCTGCCTGCTTTGCTTGATTTTGGGCAAAAGTTGCTCTTTTTTTTTTATAAAAAATTCAATATTTACATACATGATGTGTTGTGAGTTAATTTTGTGTTTGCTTGCTAGCAAATTTTATGAGTTTGCTTGCAAGCAAATTTTATGTGACAGACTGAGCTAGCCAATGGCAGATAGATCTCTGAATGAATCTGTGATTCTGTGAACAACTCAATCTGCCTGCCTGTTTTGCCGGATTTTGGGTAAAAGTTGCTCTTTTTTAATAAAAAATTCAATATTTATATAAATATTTATAATTTATAATAAATATTTATATAAATATATATTGAATAATAAACAACTATTTATATAATAAATATTATATAATAAATATTGAATAATAAATACTTATATAATATATAATATTTATAAATCTGCTTGCACTGGCACGAAGCCAAAAGCACCAGCCTGAGGATGGCGAGTGGGACCTCGCCGAAACGTCACCAAGATACTCTTAATCTTACCCGGGAAAAGACCCGAACACACCTAGACCTACAAATATTTATAATATTTACATACAAGCCATGCCCAGTCAGTCACATGACCACCAGGCCACACCCACAAATTAGGCCACACCCACAGAACCGGTTAGTGGTCCCTGGGATTTAAAATTATGAGATTGGTGGTCCCTGAGGTCCAAAAGGTTGGTGACCCCTGTGTTACAGGAGCTTTAGAGAGCATTTGAATGTGTAATATGAGGAAATAAGGGGAAGTCCTGATATATAAGAAGAAAACCTCTCCTTTAACACTGAACACAGCCTACCTATAAGTAATGTTTTCAGCAGAGAAGGTATATCTGAAATCATTTAGGAGCTGGAGGAAATAAAAGAGAACACAGCCTTTTATAAATACTGGACAGAGGCTTGTTAGAAGACAAAGCAAAACTTTAAATTCTGCTTAGAAAACAAGTGTCAGGAAATATCTCTTTAGATATTTCCAGGAAATGGAAATCTCTAATTTCCATTTCCTTCTAAATGAACTGTATTCACAGAAGCTTATGTGCTAAAAGAAAGTTCTGTGAAGAAAACACTGGAAGATATTTTTCTAGAATTTTCCAAAGGAAGTGTCAGGGAAATGAGTCTTACCTCTGGCCATTTCTGCATCTTCTCTGTCAGTCCATTTTTCATCTTCTGAGGTACTGTCAACATCACTGCCAGTTTCTAGTTCTTTCATTAAATCTTCTATGGCAAATGGGGACTGATCCACAATGGTTTCAAAGATGCCACAGATTATGGCTTGCAGCATAAGATGACTGAACAGTGAAAAGATTGTGGGGAGGGGGGGAAGGAGAATATATTTAGGGAATGTGGTTAATAGAACTTCTTTGTAACCTAACTCGTAAACAAGTTCTGAGTCATTCAGAAAATAAGAAAGGAAAAACAGACAATCGCATGATTATAATTCTCTAATTTTCTGAGGTATGCAGGAGGATCAAGAACAATCATTTCTATAATGGCTACATAGAAATGTTGTTGCTATAGTTACACATAATTTTACTTCCAGGCATGTTTAAAAAATATTTCTCTCATAGTCAACATGTTGCTATCCTTCACAGTAACTTTTCCTTTGTTCTGCCCTCCCATTCAGATTTTTATTTACTATTTTTAAAACAGTATATTAATATAAATATTGTCAAGATTTGAACATACTCCTTGGTCCTGGCAATAATTTTGCAGAATGGTTCAATAAACTTAATGTTCTGGTCTGCTGTGAGCTGTAAAGATAAAAATATACATTTTAAATATTGTTATGTATAAGTTGATGACTCTTGAAATTTAAATTAAAATACTGTATAACATTATAGTCATAGAAAACAGGGCATTGTCATACTTTGATAAACACCTTTTGCTGACAAGGTTTGTTTGGTGAAGCTCATGGATTTGTATTTTTTGACTTAAAAGATAAACAATAGGAAAAGAGAAATTATGTTAGATTTAGAGAGGGTGACAAGCAATTAAAAATGATCTTTTACATACTGGCATTAATGGGTAAAGTTAACTTTTTTCACACTTCTTTTTCACATTTATTCCCTTTTGTATTTTCTGTTTGTACTCTTATTTGCTTTTATTCCTTTCATATATATAAAACTAATTGGAAACCAGGGCACTGTTCACAAAATAAAATAAACTGAGTTTTAGAGCATTACACAGTAAAAACTTGACACCAGTGTTTTTAATACATTTTATAAACGAGTAAAGTGTAATGATCTTCCCCTAACCTGATGCTTTTCAGGTGAGGGGCCAGCATGGAGAAGCCTAAATGTCATACAATTTGCTACTGACCTCTTTAGCTCCAACTTTAGCCAGTTCTTCCAGATAGATATCAATGAAATGCAATTTAATACCAATGGGAGCATGGCTATCTGGATGCATAACTTCCATTATTAACATATTCAGAAATCGTTCAATTAAACTGGAAATAAATGTAAAAATAATATTAGCGGCATAGGCTATTCAGTTACATTACATCATAAAATCTTTTGCCAGGTCCAAAAAGTGCTCACCTAAATACATTTGGCAAAGCATGGACCAAATGGTTTCATCTCCACATAATGTAGGAACAAAAAAACAGAAGTGCACACTGAAACAGGGTCCAAATCTCTCACCAGTATACACTTTTAAAAAAATAGTTAGCTGAGATCTGATTTTATTACTTCATTTTAAAAGGCGATCCCACATCTTGTATCACAATTTCACTGAATAGGATTTGTATCATAATTAAAATTAAAGAGCTACTGTATTTTATAAACATATGCAGGTGTACATTTTAATGGTACAATTAATGCAACTTCCCAGCTTGGTTTCAATTTTGTGCCTTCTTTGATATAGAGTAATGGGAGGAGTTATATATAGTTGTCTTTGACTTATGACCACAATTCAGCCCCAAATTATGATAAGTCATAGTGGTTGCCCATATGACACTCCTCCCTCCCTCAACAATTGAAATCTCAGCTCTTCCCACTGTGGTCATTAAGTGGAGTACAGGGAACCTCAGGGTGGGGGAGGCCCTGGCACACCTGGTGCAGGCCTTCATTCTGTTTCAGGACCAGGCCCCCACAAATGGCACTTCACCAATTCACCTATGGCCTGTGCTCCCAGGGCATCCCCACCTAAGGTCCTCTTTGCAAAGCTTTCCACCTGCCTAGATTCCCATAGAACCTGGGTCTGCTTCCCACCTGGCTGGGTCCTCACAGGCTTCAGGCCCACTTCCCATGTTTCTGGGTCCCATAACTTTAGGCCTCTTCACTGCTCCATCATACTTTCCTCCACTTACCTCTTTGAAGTACATCTTTCCAAAAGAACGCCCAGCTGGTGTGATATGCAGCCTTCCTGCAGAGGCTGTCTTGTGTCATTCTGGAGATGGATACCAATGTGGAAAATTGCACCCTTCTGAGAGATTCCACAAATGGTACCCACTTCCAGGATGGCAGCACTTCCCCAGTTCACACGTGGTCCCTGGAAACAGTTGCACTGGTTGGGCTATCTTTTGGAAAGGCAATCATTGGAAAAGGTAAGTGTAGCTAGACATGACAAGGCAGGGAGAAGGACCAAGGCAAGGGGCAGAAAATAGGCCCAAAGCCTGTGGGGACTCAGCTGGGTGGGAAGCAGCCCCAAGGCACCCAGAAGGGGAGGATGAGGGGAAAGATAGCTGATAGGGACAGTTACACTGTCCCTGTGGTCAGTTGTAAGAGCAAGAAGATTGTCATGCTGTCAAATTTTCATCAGGTGACTATGAGGGAACTGTAGTGGTCATAACTTTGAGTATATGTTGTATGTTTCTTCATTTAGCACCATTGCAATTCTGAGTGGTCACTGAATGATCGTAAGTCGAGGACTATCTGTAGATCAGATGATATTAAATCAATGAGCAGATGACTGATGTTCATTAGAACACACAGTTAAAAGAAATGTCATGTCGACATTATTTTTAATAGATGAAATGCTATGTTTGGTAGTTAAGCAAGTAAATATTGATCTCACAGAACTCAATGAATGTATCTATCATGCTAAGCCACGATCTGATTTACAAACTAGGTGCACCATAAAACATGCTTTACAAACACGATGGTGAGGTATTTATAATGATAAAATCAAAAGGTCATAAGACTGGCACACTATACAAACAACACACTATACAAACAACAGATATGGCCTACCTTGCATTCCATTCATTTCTTTTCAGAACTTCAAAGGACTGCCTCAGCATCATGCGGATCAACTAGGTTAGGGAAAAAAACAAACGATGCACACAATTTTCCCCACCATGTTATTAAGTTTATAGGACAGCACTCAATATATTGAAAGAATTTGAACAATATAGGGATGTTCTGTACACATTTTAAGCTAAATATTATCCTTCATGGAGGAGTTGGATGTTTACATGTTATGAGTTTATGCTATGTTAGTTGAATGCATAGTGGATTTCTGTGCATCCACTGTTTCTGAGTAGAATAAGGGTCTTGGTTGTGGGAGTGAGAAAGACGAGCCCAGTGTCTTGTTCATTCACCGAATACAGGACAGTATTTTTACAATGGAAAAGGAGGTACAGGTAGTCCTCACTTAATGGCCACAACTGTTGCAGTCATTAAGTGGGTCATCATGTGATTTGACTTGTCTTTACAATTGTTTTTATGACAGCCATAAAATCAGCCATCATGGTTTTTAAGTGAACCAAGTGGTCATTAGGCAACCACATGGTTGTTAAACAAATCCATTCCCTCAAATAAGTATTTTTGCCAACTGCTAAATTCACTAATGATATGGAGGTTAAGATATAGCATAGGGCTCTAGATAGCATGTCTTATAACACTTCTATTTCCTAATTACAATTAAAATCTATCTATGAAACTGACTAGGACCATTTTCTCAAATCAGGTACCTTCCAGATACGTTCCTATTATCTCCAAAATGCAGAGCTGCGGAACAGTCATATGAACATTATGGATCAATAATAATAGAATTTCCATTACCATGACTTTGGCAAATAACTTGTTATTTACAAAACTATAGGCCTTAGTCTCAGGCAAGGAGCACATGGAGTTTGGAAGTGCCAAGAGTAGGCACTGGAGAGTACAGATGGGCTAACAAGAGCCATAGACAGGTACTAGGGAGCAAGAGTGAGCTGGCAGAAGGTGTGTGCATGCTAGAGAGGTGCTAGAGAGTATGAAGTCCTTGAACTCTCATAAATCTCAAAAACTTGGGATAAAAACTGGCAGAAGCAACTTATGATCTTCACTGCCTGCTTTCTTACTGAATTTTTTTGTGGGAAGTTATAGGTAAGGTCAAAAAAGGCAATTGTTATGGTAGCTTGCTGCAATGTCATAATTTTGAGTCAGGTGCCTGAGCACACAGATTGTGACCTTGGGGACACCGCAATAACCATCATGGTGTGGGTGGTTGTAAGTCCCCCTCATTCAGTACCATTGTAATAATGGTCACTGAATTAGCTATCATAACTCCAGGTCTACCTGTAATGGTTCAAATAACTCATATCTCTTGTTGTATCTGAACAAGCATTTAAGAACTAGGAATCCTATTTGAAGAATTACAGGTGAAACTTGAAAAATTAGAATATCATGCAAAAGTTCATTTATTTCAGTAATGCAACTTAAAAGGTGAAACTAATATATGAGATAGACTCATTACATGCAAAGCAAGATAGTTCAAGCCGTGATGTGTCATAATTGAGATGATTATGGCTTACAGCTCATGAAAACCCCAAATCCACAATCTCAAAAAATTAGAGTATTGTGAAAAGGTTCAATATTTTCGGCTCAAAGTGTCCCACTCTAATCAGTTAATTAAGCCATAACACCTGCAAAGGGTTCCTGAGCCTTTAAATGGTCTCTCAGTCAGGTTCAGTAGGAAGCACAATCATGGGAAAGATTGCTGACCTGACAGTTGTGCAGAAAACCATCACTGACACCCTCTAAAGGAGGGAAAGCCTCAAAAGGTAATTGCAAAAGAAGTTGGATGTTCCCAAAGTGCTGTATTGAAGCACATTAATAGAAAGTTATGTGGAAAGGAAAAGTATGGAAGAAAAAGGTGCACAAGCAGCAGGGATGACTGCAGCCTGGAGAGGATTGTCAGGAAAAGGCCATTCAAAAGTGTTGGGGACTTTCACAAGGAGTGGACTGAAGCTGGAGTCAGTGCATCAAGAGCCACCACACATAGATGGATCCTGGAAATGGGCTTCAAATGTCGTATTCCTATTGTCAAGCCGCTCCTGAACAACAAACGTCTCAAGCGACTTACCTGGGCTAAAGAAAAACAGACCTGGTCTGTTACTCAGTGGTCCAAAGTCCTCTTTTCTGATGAGAGCAACTTTTGCATCTCATTTGGAAACCAAGGACCCAGAGTCTGGAGGAAGAATGGAAAGGCACACACTGCAAGATGCTTGAAGTCCAGTGTGAAGTTTCCACAGTCTGTGTTGATTTGGGGAGCCATGTCATCTGCTGGTGTTGGTCCACTGTGCTTCATTAAGTCCAGGGCCAACACAGCCGTCTACCAGATTTTGGAGCACTTCATGCTTCCTTCTGCAGATGAGCTTTATGGGGATACTGACTTCATTTTCCAGCAAGACTTGGCACCTGCCCACACTGCCAAAAGCACCAAAACCTGGTTCAATGACCGTGGGATTACTGTGCTTGATTGGCCAGCAAACTCCTGACCTGAACCCCATAGAGAATCGATGGGGCATTGCCAAGAGAAAGATGAGAGACATGAGACCGAACAATGCAGAAGAGCTGAAGGCCGCTATTGAAGCATCCTGGTCTTCCATAACACCTCAGCAGTGCCACAGGCTGATAGCTTCCATGCCACGCCGCATTGAGGCAGTAATTGCTGCAAAAGGGGCCCAAACCAAGTACTGAGTACATATGCATGCTTATACTTTTCAGAGGTCTGATATTGTTCTATGTACAATCCTTGTTTAATTGATTGCATGTAATATTCTAATTTTCTGAGATTGTGGATTTGGGGTTTTCATGAGCTGTAAGTCATAATCATCACAATTATGACAAATTACGGCCTGAACTATCTTGCTTTGCATGTAATGAGTCTATCTCATATATTAGTTTCACCTTTTAAGTTGCATTACTGAAATAAATGAACTTTTGCACGATATTCTAATTTTTTCGAGTTTCATCTGTATATAGAAATTTTGATTGTATATTCTAAGTTACATAATTTTTTTCTTAGTTTTGACTAAAATATTAACAATTCAATTGTATAACAGGGCATGAATATTTATTTTTCTATTTTTATATCACAGAATCTACCAAGATTCATAATATTTATACTCCATTAACATTATAAATGCATTATTAATACAAATATTTGGAATACCAACAATAATAAAATCTGAACATAATTTCACTAAAATACTAAAACCCACCAACCAGTTACATTACTCTTATGTGTAGTGTACATTAATTATTCAAGTAAATAAAAGGACTTGAAATGAAATCTGGATTAAAATGATATGTGCTATGATTTGGAAGCTCTTTTCAAACAAATTTTTTATTTTTGCTTAGAAAAGCTTTTTATAAGAATATAAACATATGGCATTAGCACATTTAAATGAGAAAATGCATTTTAAATTGATGTTAATTTGTTTTATTACCAATCTTATTTCTGAAAGTGATTTTTTGTTGTTGTGGAACAATATATCCCTGGATATATTGGAGGCTTTAAGAAAAGACTGGACAGCCACCTATCTGAAATGGTACAGGGTCTTCTCTTTGAGTAGGATTAGAAGACCTCTAAGGTCCCTTCCAGCTCTATTCTGATTCTGACTCTACATGTTCTCTTTTTGCCAAGGAGTTTTTCAAAAGGGAAGAAGAATTTAACTTTACCATGTAAAATTTATCTAGACGCAATCGATCTATTCCATTCCATTCACGATTCACAGTTTGCCAGAAAGTCTGAATGAACAAGTGTCCTGTTTTGAGATAATAAATATAATGTTGAAATCACATATTTTCTTCTTCATAAATTTCCAGTCACCTTTCATAAGTGAAAGAAAAATTAATCTTTAAGAATCCCAGCAGCAGACACACCAAAGGAGGTGAAGGGCTGGGTATCTATAGTCTGCTTCCCTCCCCCCTCCTCACTTTAACCTTAAACACTGAATTCTCTTAATGCTGATCCATCTGAGCTGAAATCTTGCCATATATAGTGCCAAAGCTGAGAATGGGCAACCCTCCTTTTTTGTATTCTCTTTCATTCACCTGTTCTGAGAGAACATTACACCAAAGGCCTGATTACTATACCACCTCCACAGCAGTTAACCAGGCCCCCGTGGGTAGTAAAGTATGAAGAAGTAGAATGAAAGCACAACAGAATCCTCCTACCTATATTTCTCAGCAGTTTGTGTTCAGAGATGCATCATTATAAAGTTATGACTTGCAGCAATTAAAAGTTTTGTCTAAAAATATCTAAGCACTTTTTAAATACATCCAAATTTGTGGTTTGTTGTCGCTACCTCTTTCTAGACCATTAAGCTATAAAGAATCTAAATATGGTTGCCATTTAATCTTGCACTCTGCTCCAAGAATGGTATGTGTTAGAAATACTGTTGTTGTTTAAGGATTTAGATACATCTCCAGGAAATAAATTTCTGGCTCCATAAACTGATTCTTCCTTGCACTGTGATGCAAAGCCTTGGCTATAAGCTCCTGAACATAAAAGAAATAAAAATGAAGAGACTTACGAGTATCCATATTCTCGATTAAATGGATAAGTTGTGATATATTATTTGACAACTCCTCCTGGAAATTTAGAATTTTGTTTAGTAATAATGTCACACAAGTAGATTCCTATTAGTATAATATTCAGGAAATTCCCCTCTCAGAAAGCTGACCCTGCTATCGGACCTTCCCTAAATATAGAAAACTGACGATGGGTATAAGCACCAATACAATTTGGGCTTAATTAAGCTCTTCTGTCATAGTTTAAATACAAAGACAACCTGACACTGAAGGTAGAACATGCAGAGGTTTCCTACCAGTAGATCAAACAGCCTCATATATGATCATGAAATTCTTAATTTATACTTCTGTGGAGAAGCATTAAGAGACTGTCTATATTTTAGATTTTACCGTGTTTCTCCAACAATACGGCCTCCACCAATAGGAAGCCCCACCATGTTTTATTGGCATAAAATCAAATTAAGCCCCTCCCCCCAAATTAAGCCCCATATTAAACATGCGAAATGGGGGGGGAGAGCGGGGGGGGGGCTTGCCGTTAGTAAGTACTTTTGTTGCATGCCCGGATATGGTGCTGCCTGCGTTGGTGGGGCACTTCATATCGGGAGACCTTCCACCGTTGCTTCTCCCTTCTCCCTTGCTGCCCCTTCTCCCTTGCTGCCGCGGCGTTTGGCGCAGCCACGTGCGGCCAGTCAGGGCTCCTCCCTGCAACCGGAGCCCTGAGGAGACACTTGGCTTCAGGCGCTCCCGTCTTCCCTTTGCTTTCGAAGGTAAAGCGAATTATTTTACAAAGCCTCCCCTGCCCGAGAGGGCAGCCCAACCCCACGTGGGGAGGCTAATCTCCCGGGGCCTCTTCCGTTCCTCCCCGACCTCCCTACGCTGCGCGCCTTTGACGCGCCGCTCCCTTCAGCCCAGCGAGCTCTTCCACCTCAAAGAAAGGCCAGGTGGGCGGCTGCGGAGCAGCAGCAGCAGGTCTGAGCCGCTCGCAGCGGAAACAGCCACCACCCGTAGCCCGACGCGGGGAGAACGAGCGAGGTTAGCGCCCGCCAGCCCGGGCGAGATTTGGGAACGAGGGGCAGGAGGAGGCACGCACACACCTGCGGCTCACTTTCCCAGCTTTGCCCAGCCCTTACGGCTCTGGCGCGGCCCTGGC